GGAAGAGAGTTAAGAGTCTTAAATATAAATAGTTGATTTATATTCTATGAAAAATACTTATTTAAAAACTCACCTTTATATATAATTAATTAATTCACAGTTCCCAGAATCAAAGAGGTTTCAATGTTTGAGATGGGGGACAGCTATTACAGTAATTCTTCTCTATATAGGCTACTTGGCATTTCTTGCATATCGAATTGTCATTGATAAACTGTTAATACAAATACAGTGTGTGACAAAAAAACTTAACTATTTATGGACTAAATTAGGCAATAAGTAAACATCGCCAATTTTGGTTTGATTTACTTCATATTTTACCTTGTTAACATGCAAGTAGCAACTTTATTACTACACCTGTTAAATAATAAAATTCTAAGTAAACTTTTGAAAATTCATTGTCAAGAATGTCATCAACTGTTCGTGAACGAAAGATGCATAGTCTATTACATTATTGGAACAAAGGCATCTGTTCTATGCCTGAATTAACAAAGCTTACCAAGCTACCCATCTCAACTGTACAATATAATGTTGAAAAGCTCAAAAAAACTGGTACTTTGGAGCATAAAGGCGGCAATGGTCATCCGAAGAAAATAACAGCCAATGTAGCAAAAACTGTTGGCCAATATGTTCATCGAGATACATCAGTGTCATTGTGTTCTCTTGCCATTAAACTTGATAACAATGGTATTGATATATCTTATCGTACAATTGGCAGACATTTAAAGTCACTAGGATATAAAAAAAACCTTCCTTTAGCCACGCCAATGTTAACAAAGACCCATAAGCAAAATCGTGTTGAATGGGCTAAGTGTCACCTTAATGACAACTGAAAAAAAACATTATTTACTGATGAGACAGCATTCCAGTTGTTTCGGAATACAATTGAACGTTGGTATAAAGACAAACGTCCAGTTCGTTGTATGCCAAAAGATCATAGAAAAATTTTTGCTTGGGGAGGTTTTTGCACAAAGGGGTTGACGTCTTTATTTTGCTTCCAGCAGATAATGGATGGTGAACTTTATGTCAAAATACTTGAAAATCATCTTGGAGAAGTTAATAAAATGCTTGGAAAGAATTGGTGATTTCAACAAAATAATGATCCCAAGCACACAAGTCGAGTAGCTAAAACATTTCTTGCTGATAATGTGCCCAAGGTTATGGATTGGCCCTCTTGTAGTCCCGACCTTAACCCTATAGAAAACTTATGGGCCATTGTTAAACACAATGTTGAAAACAAATGCCCCAAAATTTAGATGATTTGGAGAAGTTTTTGACAGAGGAATGGAATTCTATTCCAAATTCGGTTTTAAATAATTTAGTAAATTCAATGAAACACCGTTGTGAGTTGGTTATTGAAAGTAATGGTGAACGAATCAATTTTTAAGCCTAATAAAGTTTGTTCTATAACTTTTTCGCTTTTAAATGGTATATTTATTATTGGGTTCGGTGTGACTTTTACGAATCTATGATGAATTTCATAAAGTTAAGTTTTTTTGTCACACACTGTATCTTATGAGTATTTGGACAGAATCAGCATTCCTGGTGTGTTAGTGAGCAAGGTGTTAAAATTCCAAAAAATTTTCAATCTAATGGATTTTTTATTTATATTCATATTCTCATAAAGAAATTGAACTCTGTGGCAATAACAGCAATATCAAAATATCTAAATGTATTTTCAATTGGAGTAATAACAAAACTACTGATGGTTGTAGCTCAGAAAGTAGAATATTTGAATCTGAAAAAATCATA